CAAGTTGAATATGTGTGGATAGTTTATCCCACTTTAGTGAGGGACAAGGCTAAATAAGGGTTTATATGATGTCGAGCTATTTCTCATAGTGCCTATTGGTTTTAGGGAACTTTAACGAAAAGCTCCCGGTACTGTTTACTTTAACGAAAAACCACATTTTTACACTAAAATGTCAATCCTGGTACTATTCATTTTACCCTTTATTTTGTCCTTATCATTAAAACTTCAAGTTTTCAAGCCCTTTTCATTAGTTTTCCTTTGGTTTTATATAGAATCTTAATTTCATTATGGTATTAGAGTATGTTTCTCTTGCGTGAAAGCCCAAAGGGCTACACTTGCTCACGTGTCAGTTTGTCCCACAACGGTGAAGGACAAGGTCAGCCAAGGACTTACATGGTTTTGGATCACTCTCTATATTGCTAACTGATTTTATGGTAGAGCTATTGAGATCTCTGCAACTAATTTGCAGTTTTGTATTCTGTTCATATTTTATTTTTTTTTTGTCCAAATTTTATGTTCATAGTTCAGTACACAGATAAATATTGAACTTAATTTGTATGCTAGTTATCATTTGTTGTTGTTTTGTAGAATTAAATATAAAGTTGTAAGGTTCTATCAAAATGTTGACATCATTCGTATTTGGGATTAGGCTGGAAATCTTTTTACGAAAATCCGAAACCAAACTAAAAAAATCACGATTCCATACTAAAAAATTTCTAAGTCAATAATACGGAAATTTTCTGGATCCATACCGAACCGATCCCAAACTTTTTGGTACGAGAATCGAGATTACATATTCAATGGTTCAGGAATGTCGAATCGAACCATATATATATATATATATATATATTTTTTTTTTTTTTTTTTTTTTTTTTGGTTGCATGCATATTGAAGGTTGAGTTTAAGTAGTTTGATAGTAGATTATATTAGAAATAGAAGTATAAAATTAAGTTGTTTGGAACTTTGGAATGTCAATTTAACTTGATATGAATGAATTGATATGAAATTTCAAATTGGTATAAGATAAAAAACCTAAATTTCAATTGATATGAAATTGAGCAACAAAATTTCAGGCTAAAACCCAAATTTTAGCCGACACCTCCAAAATCTCAAATTTTAGCCTAAAAGTCAAAAATCCAAAATTCAGTCCCAATCTATCTCGAAATATTTAAAATATTTCGGAAATTCCAAAAATTAAGAATACGGAAATTTTGTATCCTATTTTTTATTCGGGATTCCATACCAAAATACCCCAATATGCCAAAAAAAAAAAAAAAAAAAAAAAAAAAAAAAAAGAGGAAAGTCAAAAGGTCGTAAAGAAGGTAAAGTTATGATAGACGAAGCTCTGAACTCTCTCTTCCCTACTAAACTAGCCAGACTCACTCTTCCCAGTCCCTCACCATTACTCTCACTGAAATCAACTTTCTTCTCTTCTCTTCTTCTTTATCGTGTTCCCGTGCACAGAATGGCAGGAGAAGAAGGCCACGCAATCGGGATTGATCTGGGGACAACGTACTCTTGTGTCGCAGTGTGGGAGCACGACCGTGTGGAAATCATAGTGAACGATCAGGGTAACAGGACCACTCCATCTTGTGTTGCCTTCACTGAGACTGAGCGATTGGTTGGTGATTCGGCCATCAATCAAATCATCAGGAACCCCACCAACTCCATTTTTGGTTAGATCCTCGTTTATCTGCTACTAATTTAACAGCATTTTGATGGAAAATGGTTATATGCTTATTTTCTTAATGAAAATAGCTTAAACTTTGAGTTTTAATCAAAAGAACAGAAAAGTGTTGTAAGAGAATAATATTAGAGTGACTATTTAGAGTAAAAATGTCTTAAAAGTTCATAAAAATATATTTTTGAACAAAAAAAGCTACAAGTATAAACAGTATGAAGTTGGATTAAAACTATCGTTGCAGGATAACACTTTTGATTAAACCAAATAAGTCATTGGGTTGTTTTTGATATATGATCTATTGATTCTTAGCTGTTTTTCTTTCTAGGAGTGGTTTTTAATTTAGTCATTTATTTGCAGATGCGAAGAGGTTAATTGGTAGGAGATTCAATGACGCCACTGTTCAAAGTGATTTGAAGCTCTGGCCATTTAGAGTCACTGAGGGTCCTGGCGGCAAGCCCTTGATTGTGGTCACCCACGAGGGACAAGAAAAACAGTTTGCTGCCGAAGAAATTTCAGCCATGGTTCTAGTGAAAATGCGGGAGATTGCTGAGGCCTACCTCAACTCCACTGTGAAGAATGCAGTTATCACTGTCCCTGCTTACTTCAATGATTCACAGCGTCAGGCTACAAAAAATGCTGGCAACACTGCTGGCCTAAATGTGATGCGTATCATCAACGAACCAACTGCTGCAGCAATTGCTTATGGCATTGACAAGAAGGCTGGCTGGTATAGCAAGAGAAATGTGATGATATTTGATTTAGGTGGTGGTACTTTAGATGTTTCACTACTTACCATAGGTGATGGTGTGTTTGAAGTGAAGGCCACGGCTGGAGACACTCACCTTGGAGGAGAAGACTTCGATAACAAAATGGTGGACTTTTGTGTTGAGCAATTCAAGAAGAATCATAATTTGGACGTGAGTGGAAACTCTAAAGCACTAAGGAGGTTAAGAAACGCATGTGAGAAAGCAAAGAGGAGGCTTTCGTTTACTTCAGCCACTGACATTGAAATCGACTGTTTGTATGAGGGAACTGATTTCTATACAACTATTACCCGTGCCAAATTTGAGCAATTGAATATGGATTTCTTTAACAAGTGTATGGAGCCAGTCGAGAAGTGTTTGAAGGATGCCAATATGGAAGTAAGCAGTGTCCATGATGTTGTTCTTGCCGGCGGATCTTCTAGAATTCCCAAAGTGCAGGAACTGTTGCAGGATGTGTTCAAGGGGAAGCAGTTGTGCAAGAGTATCAATCCGGATGAGGCAATTGCGTATGGTGCCGCTGTTCAAGCTGCAGTCTTGAGTGGGAATGGAACTGAGAAGCTTCAAGACTTCACTCTCTTGGATGTCACCCCTTTATCACTTGGAATTGAGAGTCAAGAACGTGGTAGTTCCAAGTTATTCATGAACATTGTGATTCCAAGAAATTCTAGAATTCCAGTCATGAAGAAAAAATTTGTAACTACCGTTTCTGACAATCAAGTTTCGGTGGACTTTCCTGTTTATGAGGGTGAAAGCAGCATAGCTAAAAACAATAACTTTTTGGCTGAATTTACCCTCGATGGTATTCCCCCAGCTCCGCAAGGTGTTCCTTTATTTGAAGTTTGTTTCAATATTGATGCCAATGGTATCCTGAATGTCTCTGCCGAAGACCAGTCCACCGGCCAAAAGAAAGGGATTACAATCAAGAGTGACAGTGACATTAGGAATTTTGAAGGAATTGAGAAGGTGAACTAAGGACCTATTTGGTAGGCTGGACCAGATTGGAACATTAGTATTGGTATTAACGATCAATTAGTTGAATGAGGCGTTGTTAGAGTTTTCATTTGGCATTCCGATGTTAAATCTTGATTATGATGAATTTTGATGAAGTTTTAATAGACTTTCATAAATTCTATATGTGAATTTTGTGTAAATTTCTTCAAAATCTCATAGGGATGAATTCGGAGAGGTATGATTTGTCAAATCTTGATTGAATACACCCTATTAAACTTTGTAGGCTCCATTAAAATTTTGATTGAATACACCCATATTTTACTTTTATAAAACTTTATAAATCCTAATTAAATATAGAATAAATTAGGCTAAAATAAGCTCTAGAAGAAAAATATATCTCTAGGCTAGATTCTTTTTAAGATTTAAGCCTGGCTTAAATTATACTGAACCCAACTGTCGTATTTCAAACCTTTTTATTTTTTTTACTTATAATCTAACGATTATGATCAAATAAGAGCAAACCTAATGGTAAAACAAAGATTTGACAGTCCAAAATAAAATCTAACGTCTAAAATAATTTAAGAAAATAATTTAAACCAAATTTAACTTAAATTTTTTTTATTACTTATCGAAATTTAAATATTTTTAAGTTAAAATGTTCATATAAAAAATTAAGATCATCAACCTAAATTTTATTTTCAAAAAAATTATCGAAAAAAATTATGCTAAAATTGACACATCCCGATCCTAGAATCAAGGCATCGATCCTAGAATCAAAGCATGCCGTCACGCCTTGATTCTAGGATCGGGGTGTGTCAAAAATCATTATTTAATAAGGGGGGAACAGGAGATGAGGGGGAGAATCTACAAACTAAAGATAAATAGGCAATTAAAGACTGATAACAATGGATTTAGGGTCAGGTACATTTTGCATCATAACGTTAGGGTCACTTTCAAAATCGGTTATGGGCTCCCACTTTTCACGTTGCAACTCAACATTTTGATATTCGACAAATTTCACATTTTTTCGAGGGAAAAAAATTAGTCATTTTCTCTCATCTTTTTATATTTAGACTCTAATTGAATAATTCAATGGAGAATCATGAGATATAAACTAATAAAATGTGAATAGGAGTGTGAAAATTACTACCAATATTTTTTTATACAATCATTACTCATTAGAAAATAAGAAAATGAGAGTGTCAAAATCATTATCTATCTTGAATATAACCTTAATTTATTTTCTTTGGTATGGTAATAGGTATTTGAATAAGTTTCGTATTATTACGTCAACAGTTAACAGTTCACTAAACACAAGTAGTCATTTACCACAGTTGTGAAAATGAATTGAGCTCTTACATGATAACGTGGATTCGAACATTGTCGATGAGTAATGTAACATTTAATCTAACAAAATCTATTGTTTGACAAAAAAAATAAAAATTAACAGTTCATTAAACATTAACGTAATAATGTGCAAATTGATCGCATTATTTTCTTTGTTGAAAAGAAAATTTTGAAACCTAGGTGCTTAATAGCCACCAATTTTCTTATTACTTTCTCTGTTAAAAATAAAAACAAAAACAAATAAAGGATTATTTCTTTTTCCTTATTAGAAAGGGGGAGCGTCGCGAACTCGCGTGTTTGCTCCAGTTCCTAGGGTTTCATATTCCCAAATTCCCCAAATCACAATCCCAATTCAAATCCCATCCAATTCTCTGCCCTAAAATCCTCATGGGAAAGAACGATTTCCTCACACCGAAGGCAATCGCCAATCGAATCAAGGCCAAGGGACTCCAGAAGCTCCGATGGTACTGCCAGATGTGCCAGAAGCAATGCCGAGACGAGAACGGATTCAAGTGCCACTGCATGAGCGAGAGCCACCAGCGGCAGATGCAGATCTTCGGCGAGAACTCCAATCGCATCGTCGACGGTTACTCCGAGGAGTTCGAGCAGAGTTTTCTTGATTTGATGAAGCGGAGTCACCGGTTCAGCCGTATCGCCGCCACCGTCGTGTACAACGAGTACATCAACGACCGCCATCACGTGCATATGAATTCCACCGAGTGGGCGACGCTGACTGAGTTCGTGAAGCATTTGGGGAGGACTGGGAAGTGTAAGGTTGACGAGACGCCGAAGGGTTGGTTCATTACGTATATTGATCGGGATTCCGAGACGCTTTTTAAGGAGAGGTTGAAGAACAAACGGCTTCGGGCGGATATGGCGGATGAGGAGAAGCAGGAGAGGGAGATTAAGAAGCAGATTGAGAGGGTTTGTCAGTCTATGCCGGTGGGTAATGGGTCTGATCAGGGTTCGGAGGCTGAGGCCAATCAGGAAGTGAAATTGGAGCCTGGGGTTAAGATTGGATTTGCGCTTGGGTCCTCGAAACTGGGACCTAAAGATAAAGGGGGGAGTGCGAAATTGGTGTTCGATGAGGTGGAGGATGAGACGAATGAGAGAAAGGTTAAGAAGGCAAAAGATGGAAGTGGCGGTGACGCGAGGAGCTTGGCTTTGGAAGAGTTGATGAGGGAGGAGGAGAAGAAGAAGGAGAGGATTAATAGGAAGGATTATTGGTTATGTGAGGGAATCGTTGTTAAAGTGATGAGTAAAGCCTTGGCTGACAAGGGTTACTATAAGGGAAAAGGGGTTGTGAGGAAAGTGATTGATAAGTATGTTGGGGAGATTGAAATGCTTGAAAGCAAGCATGTCTTGAGAGTTGACCAGGCTGAGCTTGAGACCGTGATTCCGAATCTTGGGTGCCTTGTGAAGATAGTCAATGGGGCTTACAGAGGATCAAATGCAAGGTTGCTGGCGGTCGACACAGATAACTTTTGCGCTAAGGTGCAGATAGAGAAGGGTGCGTATGACGGTAGAGTGCTTAAAGCTGTTGAGTATGAGGATATTTGTAAACTTGCCTAGTGAATTTGGTAGAATACTTGTCTATGATGACCATCTGCATTTCAGATACGTCACCCTGTTTTGAAAGTCTATTCTGATATTGCTTCTCTCTGGTTGTATGTTCAAAAAATTATCATTGTTCATATTGAATTATTGAGTACTGGATAAGCATGACTTGAGAGTTCTATGATTGTTTTTGCAATGTTTATCACTAACGGTTCTGGTTTATCTAAGTTTGTCTACAATCTGTTGCCAATTGCCAATTCTTGTGGTTATATACATAGATAGTATAATTACTTATTGATATAATATGGATAATTACACTGCATTTAGCAATCAAATATGCAATTTTTTTACAGTACTTCGAAGAAAACAAAGAAAAGTGGGAATTTTAATCACTCTTTTCCTAATTAGATGCTGATTTGTGTTTTTGTATTCTTTTGTTGTCTGTGATGATGTTGCCCAATTTTTAGTGCTCTTACTCTCGACCAATCCATCTGACCAAAACATTGCCGAGTTTCCTTGTGACCTGTTTACCTACTGTTTAATATCAAGAGTTGGACATGTAGGTGTGACTGAGCTCTCACTTTGGCACTTAAGCATAAAGTACTAAGTAACTTTAGCCTCCTCAGATTTTGCTACCATTTATGAGGTTTTCATGTCGTCTTAGTATTCATTACTGGGAGTCTGGGATAAAAAATTGTACTTATGTGCTCTGTTTGGTAGTTATGGTGGGGATTTTGACCCTACTTCAATGATATAGTATAACTTCCATTTTGGTAGTATGAGACTTCCTTTGACTCGCCACTACCTGCCTGCATTCTAGTTTGGTTGGTTATGGAATTGAGCCTTCATTCTTCAACTAGTTTTGGTTGGTTATGGAATAGTGTCTTCAACTAGTTGATGTCTGAAAACTAGGCATTTTGTGACGGAAAAGTTGAAAAGACGTTTTGTAGTATGAGATGCTAGGTATAGTAGCGGAGCTTCACTGACTCAGGAAATGTGTTTTGTGCCACCTTGAAGTCTTCATTACAATTGCTGCCACACATGACTGATCGCACAATTCTCACCTTACCAGTTCATTTCAACCAGAATTCGTTTTGTTATTCGTTCAAGATGGTATGGAAAAATTGTACTCGTATATTCATTCTGCCTATGATGCACGTCCTGATTATTTTTGGTCTCTTCTTAGCCAACACCTTCTTTAAGAAGAGAGAAGAACATGTGATCACCTACAAGAGTGGGTCGTCAAAAACACAAATAGATTTTCTTCTAATGAGGAAAGGGGATCGTATAACTTGTAAGGATTGCAAAGTTATACCAGGAGAGAGCGTGGCTAATCAACATCGCTTGTTGGTGATGGATGTACATATCAAAAGAGTAAGACAAAAGAACAAGACTTGGAAGTGCCCAAGGACTAGATGGTGGAATCTAAAAGAAGAAAAACAAGCCATTTTCAAAGAGAAGGTAATCACCCAATGTGTGTGGGATAGAGAGGGGGAAGCTAGCCAAATGTGGGATTCCATGGCTAGTTGTATCCGAAAAGTAGCAAAAGAGGTATTAGGAGAGTCCAAGGGCTTTGCCCCACACCAAAAGGAATCTTGGTGGTGGAATGAGGAGGTACAAACAAAGGTGAAGGCTAAGAAGGAATGTTGTAAAGCCTTATACAAGGAGAGGACCGATGAAAATGGTGAAAGGTATAGAAAAGCGAAGCAAGAGGCGAAGAAAGCTGTCAGAGAAGCTAAGTTAGCGGCTTACGACGATATGTATAAACGACTAGATACCAAAGAAGGAGAGTTGGATATCTATAAACTATCTAGAGCAAGGGAAAAGAAGACAAGGGACCTAAACCAAGTGAGGTGCATCAAGGATGAGGATGGAAAGGTTCTTGCTACAGAGAACGCGGTTAAAGACAGATGGAGAGGTTATTTTCATAATCTTTTTCAATGAAGGACATGAAATGAGTGCTTCTTTAGGGGAGTTGAGTAACTCAGAAGAGTGTAGAAACTACTCTTTTTATCGTCGAATCCGGAAGGAAGAAGTGGTTGTAGCTTTGAAGAAGATGAAGCATAAAAAAGCAATAGGCCCAGACGATATACCAATCGAAGTGTGGAAACTTTTGGGAGAGACAGGTATAACATGGCTCACTGACCTTTTCAATAGGATTTTGAAAACGAAGAAGATGCCAAATGAGTGGCGAACGAGCACTTTGGTGCCTATCTACAAGAATAAGGGCGACGTACAAAATTGCATGAACTATAGGGGTATTAAGCTAATGAGTCATACAATGAAGCTCTGGGAGAGAGTCATTGAGCATAGATTGAGGCAAGAGACACGGGTTTCGGACAACCAATTCGGGTTCATGCCAGGGCGCTCAACCATGGAGGCAATCTATCTCTTACGAAGATTGATGGAAAGATATAGAGATGGGAAAAAGGATTTACACATGGTCTTTATAGATTTGGAAAAAGCGTATGATAGGGTCCCAAGAGACATTCTTTGGAGGATTTTAGAGAAGAAAGGAGTACGAGTAGCATATATCCAAGCTATAAAGGATATGTATGAAGGAGCAAAGACTGCCGTAAGAACTCATGAAGGACAAACCGAAAGCTTTCCCATAACTGTAGGATTACATCAAGGCTCATCCTTAAGTCCTTACCTTTTTGCGTTGGTAATGGATGAGTTAACAGGACATATTCAAGATGATATTCCTTGGTGTATGCTTTTCGCAGACGATATAGTGTTGATAGATGAAACTCAGGAAGGGGTAAATGCAAAGCTTAACCTTTGGAGAGAAGTGTTGGAATCTAAAGGTCTTCGCCTAAGCCGATCAAAGACAGAATATATGGAGTGCAAGTTCAGTGCAAATGGAGGCCAAAACGAGTTAGGGGTGAGGATCGGAGATCAAGAAATACCAAAGAGCGACCGTTTTCGTTACCTAGGATCTATCTTGCAAAAGAACGGAGAATTAGATGGAGATCTCAACCATAGAATACAAGCTGGATGGATGAAGTGGAAGAGTGCATCCGGCGTGTTGTGTGACCGCCGTATGCCACTGAAGCTCAAGGGAAAATTTTATAGGACGGCAATAAGGCCGGCGATGCTGTATGGCACAGAATGTTGGGCGGTGAAACATCAACACGTACACAAAATGGGTGTAGCGGAGATGAGGATGCTTCGTTGGATGTGTGGGCACACGAGAAAGGATAAGATTAGGAATGAGGATATCCGGGGTAAAGTAGGAGTAGCCGAAATTGAAGGAAAGATGAGAGAAAATCGGTTACGGTGGTTTGGACATGTGCAAAGAAGGCCTACTGACGCTCCGATTAGAAGATGCGACTATGGGACAGAGGTTCAGGGCCGAAGGGGTAGAGGAAGACCTAGGAAAACTTTGGAAGAGACTCTAAGAAAAGACTTAGAGTACTTGGATCTAACGAAGGACATGACACAGGATCGAGCACAATGGCGTTCTAAGATTCATATAGCCGATCCCACTCAGTGACTTGGATTTTCCAAGTCTCCAACCGAGAAGTTTTCCTCACTCGGGAAATTAAGGGAACACTACCCCAACCTACATGCTCCACTCAGAAAGCTTCAACATACAAGCTTCAACAAAAAGAAAATTCAAAGAACTTAGCGAAGAAGGCTTTGGTGTATTTAACACAATACGTTGAAATGAAGGAAAGCTTATTTATTGATATCCCCGATAAGCTACAAATATGTACATATACATGAGTCAAAATAAACACACAAGAGGGAGCCTTCACAAAGGTTGCTTAGGAGAAGTCTCAGCAGTCGGTAGAGCCCCAGAAAGAGAAGGCACCGGAGGGGGATCATTTGGAGCCTCAGTACTGGACAGAACCCTAGAAGGAGGAGGCATCAGAGGTTGATCATTTGGAGCTTCATTACGCGGTACAGCCCCAGAAGACGAAGGCAATAAATGCCTTTGGAACAAACCCACAAATCTCTGATGATCAAGTAAAACCTGACCATCAGTTTCCTTCATCTGGTCAAGCTTCCTCTTCATGTTTGTAGCATAGTCATGTGCGAGCCGGTGCAACTGTTTATTCTCATGCTTGAGCCCTCTAATCTCCTGTTTGAGACTCATCACTTCAGCCGCCAATGATTCAACTTGGCGGGTTCGAGCAAATAGGCGTTGGGCCATATTAGACACAGAACCTGCACACTGAACACTGAGAGCCAGCGAATCCTTAACAGCTAACTCATCAGACCGTTTGGAAAGTAGTCTGTTATCTTTGGGAGTGAGAAGGTTCCTGGCCACCACCGCAGCGGTCATATCATTCTTCATCACGGAATCCCCAACGGTAAGAGGACCAGTAGGGGAGACGAAGGATGGGCGCCATATGTTGTCTGGAGAAGGCGGGGCTGCCTCTTCAACAAGGTTCAAGTCAAAACGACGGTCGGAGGGGCCAGACATTTTCAAAGGTGTTGAAGAGAGAAGAGGTCGGACAAATCAAGATCTTAGAAGTGCAAGAATGAAGCTTCTACTGGTGGAGATTCAAGTGTGCTTTGGAACTTAATGCCAGCCCCTATAAAAATCTGCACTCGACGGAGCTTCAGAAATCGAAGAGGCGCCTGCTCAGAAATCGAAGAGGCGTTTGCTTTCTCAAAAGCTGGGCTGCTTAGAGATCACGAGGGTTGATCTCAGAAATCGAAGAGGCGTTTGCTTTCTCAAAAGTTGGGCTGCTCAAAGACCACGAAGGCCGATCTCAGAAATCGAAGAGGCGCTCGCTTTCTCAAAAGCTGGGCTCCCCAGAGACCACGAGGGCCGATCTCAGAAATCGAAGAGGCACCTACTTTTCCAGCCTTGTCAGCACCTGTCACACGCACACTCAGCTTTGCGGAAATTATGGGCATTCTGTCGAAGACTTCTGGGGAAGTAGAAAACACATGAATCTTACTGTTCAATCACCCACTTCCCACACGCAACAATAGCTCATGGGTACCACAGATAACTTTGCCAAAGTTCTCTGCCAAAGTTGAGCACGTGAAGCTTGCAGCTCCCACTACATCGCTCTGACCAAGAAGGGTAAAAGAATAGCAAAGAAACAGCACTAACAAAGTTTAGACCCATAAATTTTGAAGGTCTAGCTACCATATTATTACCCACAAGGGTAAAGGAACAGTACCACTGCTGGATAATTGGAAAGTCCCTGTGTGTCAACCTCTGTGCTTCGTGGCAAGGTAGACTAGCAAACATGCCCAACCTTTACTCACATTCGAGAAAACACTCCCAACAAGATTGCTTGCTCCAAAATCGAAGAGGCACCGCCCTCCGAATCTCGAGAGCCAGACTCCCAACATGATTACTTTCTCAAAAATCGAAGAGACACTGCTCCCCGAATCTTCGAGAGCCAGACCCCCAGCATGATTGCTTTCTCAAAAATCGATGAGGCATCGTTCTCCGAATCAATCGAAGAGGCGCTCGCTTTCTCAAAAGCTGGGCTGCTCAGAGACCACGAGGGCCGATCTCAGAAATCGAAGAGGCACCTACTTTTCTAGCCTTGTCAGCACCTGTCACACGCACACTCAGCTTTGCAGAAATTATGGGCATTCTGTCGAAGACTTCTGGTGAAGTAGAAAGCACATGAATCTTACTGTTCAATCACCCACTTCCCACACGCAACAATAGCTCATGGGTACCACAGATTAACTTTGCCAAAGTTCTCTGCCAAAGTTGAGCACGTGAAGCTTGCAGCTCCCACTACATCGCTCTGACCAAGAAAGGTAAAAGAATAGCAAAGAAACAGCACTAACAAAGTTTAGACACATAAATTTTGAAGGTCTAGCTACCATATTATTACCCACAAGGGTAAAGGAACAGTACCACTGCTGGATAATTGGAAAGTCCCTGTGTGTCAACCTCTGTGCTTCGTGGCAAGGTAGACTAGCAAACATGCCCAACCTTTACTCACATTCGAGAAAACACTCCCAACAAGATTGCTTGCTCCAAAATCGAAGAGGCACCGTCCTCCGAATCTCGAGAGCCAGACTCCCAACATGACTACTTTCTCAAAATCGAAGAGAGGGTAAAGGAACAGTACCATTGCTGGATAATTGGAAAGTCCCTGTGTGTCAACCTTTGTGCTTCGTGGCAAGGTAGACTAGCAAACATGCCCAACCTTTACTCACATTCGAGACAACACTCCCAACAAGATTGCTTGCTCCAAAATCGAAGAGGCACCGCCCTCCGAATCTCGAGAGCCAGACTCCCAACATGATTACTTCCTCAAAAATCGAAGAGACACTGCTCTCCGAATCTCGAGAGCCAGACCCCCAGCATGATTGCTTTCTCAAAAATCGAAGAGGCATCGTTCTCCGAATCTCGAGAGCCAGATACCACAGACCACTTTTTCAAAGTGCTCTGACAGAGTTAAAACATGTGAAACTGGCAGCTCCCACTACCGTGCTATGACCAAGCAGGGTAAAGGAATAGCATTACTACTTGTTGTTAGGGAGACTCCTATATATGTCGACCTCCATCCCCAACGGACAGGCAGACCTGCAAAAATGCTCAACCCTTCATCATATCTGAGAGGGCACTCCCAACGAAGCCTTTCGAAATATTCAGCTTTCTTTCCCCCCGATAATACCTCTGCAAACAAGCTATACTAGAGCAAGAATATCTCATATCATCAGGGTTAAAAGCAAGAGTATCCCATATCATGCTTTTTTCCCTGTCTTTTCCTTTGGCCTTGTTTTTACCTGCAAGACAAGGAGAAAGAGAGCAATCAGTCAGCACTTGGAATCAAGCTTCCAGCCAGGAACTGACTGCCTGGAACCCCTTACCTGATTACTTACCTGGCATTGCTCTCGAGTACTCATCTTCAACATCTTATGTTTCCAGGGAAGATTCCGCATCTGCTTGAGGAACAGATAGGGCAAGTGCGAAGGATACAAGGAAGCATGTGGAGACAAGCGTAACAGCACACGTGCCGATACATCCATTACTCTGTCAAAAGCAAAAGTATCCCATATCAGCAGGGTGGAACGTACTCTAGATTTGATGGACTTGTTTTGACCCTCAAATTCTTCAGTCGGCCTTATACTCTGGAGGAAACCAGAAAACCCTCCAGCTCAGTTCAAGAATAAGCCTGTGGAAAGTTACTTCTTCAAAAGCAAAAGTATCTCATATCATCTCTTCTCATTTTTCTTCTCTTTATCCTTCATGCTGCTGCAAGATGGGGAGAAGGTGAACAATCAGTCGGAGCTCTGATTGCTTACCTTGTCTGTCACCTCTTTCAGCAGACCCCCTAGCTCGGCGACTTGGGGGACTCCTACTACATGGTTTGTATCGCGCTTGACCAAGCCTGAAACTACAAGTAAGCTTCAAGTGAAATTGATACATTACCTTGTGCATCTCCACCAGTTAAAGATACCACCCCTGGATGGAGGAAGAGTACTTCCAGAGAAGATGCCACATCTACCTATGAGACAGATAAGGCAAGTCAAGACGACACCACACTCCGATACTTAGAAGTTTCGTGATTACGAGATCATTCTCCCACAATATTTCCTAATGTCATTTGTACTAAATCATTCACTTGTACTCACTAAAGGAGAGCTTGAACCTATGTACTTGTGTAAACCCTTCACAATTAATGAGAACTCTTCTATTCCGTGGACGTAGCCAATCTGGGTGAACCACGTACATCTTGTGTTTGCTTTCCTATCTCTATCCATTTATATACTTATCCACACTAATGACCGGAGCAATCTAGCGAAGATCACAAAAAGCGACCGTTTTCGCTACCTAGGATCTATCTTGCAAGAGAACGGAGAATTAGATGGAGATCTCAACCATAGAATACGAGCTGGATGGATGAAGTGTAAGAGTGCATCCGGCGTGTTGTGTGACCGTCGTAGGCCACTGAAGCTCAAGGGAAAATTTTATAGGACGGCAATAAGGCCAGCGATGTTGTATGGCACAGAATGTTGGGCGGTGAAGCATCAACACGTACACAAAATGGGTGTAGCGGAGATGAGGATGCTTCGTGGGATGTGTGGGCACACGAGAAAGGATAAGATTGGGAATGAGGATATCCGAGGTAAAGTAGGAGTAGCCGAAATTGTAGGAAAGATGAGAGAAAATCGGCTCCGGTGATTTGGACATGTGCAAAGAAGGCCGACTGACACTCCGGTTCGAAGATGTGACTACGGGACAGAGGTTCAGGGCCGAAGGGGTAGAGGAAGACCTAGGAAAACTTTGGAAGAGACTCTAAGAAAAGACTTAGAGTACTTGGATCTAACGGATGACATGACACAAAACCGAGCGCAATGGCGTTCTAGGATTCATATAGCCGACCCCACTTGGTGGGAAAAGGCTTTGTTGTTGTTGTTGTTGTTGTTGTATCTAGAGTCCAGAAACTGTGGGTGTTTTTCTGCTTGTGGAAACCCATGGTTCTCTCTGCACCAGTGGTACGTGGTTCGTTCTTTCTGTATGATTTCGGTGCACTGTTAGACTGTTCTTTCTAATACATCTTACCTGTGGATAGACGAGCTGAGGATTGACACTTAGAGAAGGAGAACAGACCGCTTATAAATATGGTGAAAGGAGTCGACTGATATTGTTATTAAATTGACCTGGTGTTTGTTTATGTACTAGGGTTGAGGGAAATAGCAGCATTCACAGTGGAAAGATGCACACAAAGGCTGGAAAGTTGGAAACAATGAGATATTAAGCTGCAGGTCTGATAGATTTACAGTGTGAATTATGGTATGCTGTTTAGTTTGATCGGTAGATAGCAACTCCAATGGAACCTTGGAGCTGATTGATAATAAATGAGCCGACAAGGTCACACTGGGGAGGAGCTCTCGAGTGCGGCAGTCGTATAGGGCAGCAAACCTCAAAGGTGTGAGACCAGTGTGGGGTTGGGTGGGACCAAATACGGAGAAGCCCCATCTTTTGTAAGGAGGATCATACTGATGACGTCCGACAGTCGGACTCAAGAATTTTTCACTGGTAAGGCTGTCCACAGTGATTTAGGTGAGTATAAAAGAATTATGCATCCCTGTCCAGCTCTATCAGCGGGCTCTTTTCACTTAAATTCTTCAGCCCACTATAAGATTATGATTCTTATATTAATTTAATACTAGTAGAGAGTGTGTGCGTGTGAACAACCACCCACATCCTTCCATGTTCTCCTCAAGTGCAACTCAGTTCATTCAAACTATTCAAAAAACATTATGATTTCACTTACCTGTATGAAAAAAATGATGATGAGACAATTTCTCTTAATAAGTGCATATTTTTATCTTATGTAAATATTTTGATACAAAATTACTATTTTGCTCTCCTTATGTAAATATCGTGTATCAAAAGTGAGGGCAAAATTGAAAAAAAAAGGGCAAAAAGTTCAAAAGATACAAAATTATCATTTTTCCCTCCTTATGTAAATATTATGTATCAAAAGTGAGGGTAAAATAGGAAAAATAAGGATATGATTGTCATTTAGTCAAAAAGTACAAAATTACGATTTTGCCATCTCATGTCAACATTGTGTATTCAAAAGTAAGCAAAATTGAAAAAAAAAAGGGCAAAAAGTTGACAAACCCTCTTCTTTTAATAGAATAGATATTAATATCACACTTATTTTTTCCGGCCTACTGGGAAGACTAATGGCAATAACCTCATAGCAGATCCGAGGTGAATGAGCTCCTTTTTTCAAAAGGAAAACTAATGAAAAGGGCTTGAAAACTTTGAGTTTTAATGATAAGGACAAAATAAAGGGTAAAGTGAATAGTACCAGGATTGACTTTTTAGTGTAAAAATGTGGTTTTTCGTTAAAGTGAACAGTACCGGGTGCTTTTCGTTAAAGTTCCCTTTTTCAAATGCCTAGTCAAAAAGGATAATGGTCCTGCACCTGACTAGTTGCTACTCCTGCCATGCCATTACTGGTCGGTATGGTAACCGCTTAACTAATGACTCTGCCATTTACATTTAGCGTTAATTAAAAGCAATAAATCTATAAATTTTAGTTAGGGCATTGAAATACTTGCAATAACGGCTTAACTAATTTGATTAATTTGGTATTAGTATTTGACTTCCATGGGCCAAATAATTAATTACATAATCATCATTCAACCGTGTATGGAACTTTTTTTTTTTAACACAAATAAGCTCCTCAACATTTCATTTCATAGTGGAGAACACTTAAAATCATCATTTTGTGTAAGGAAACAAAATCTTTGGACCCAACAATTGATAGATGACGAGTATGTAGACTTTTCTTAAGTTTTTTCATTAACATTAACAGTTGTGAGGGCATTTATTTACACTATGTTTACTAACCATGATTGGATCATTCATGACATATCATGCATTTAACGACAAAAAAAATTAATGGGCTGCACGTTAAAATTATCGAGCGAGTACTTTATCCGATACCTAACCAACAACCATGTACTTGAACATACATGTATCAATTCAAGACTTAACAACTAGGTATTATTTTGGTTCATGACTTCTCTCATTCCAAATAAGTAAACATGCTCTGACAACAAAAATCGAACGTTATAAGTGAAGTTTAGCACACACAGAGATTGATTGCAAACACTAAAACAACACGTGTCGAGATTGGAAAGGTTATTACAAACATGGCCCACCATAGAAAATCCCTTCCAAACTTATTCACATAGATTAGTCAGCAGTGTACATGTTAGTACGAGTTTGGGGTTGTGTTGTTCATCAACCTTGATAATTAGCTATCCTAATTTCCTACCCCAACCGCACGCCATTAATATCATACCATCCATCCGATATCCCCCAAACTAACTCTTAACACCCAAACAACATTTCACGGCGTTATTAAGGAGAAAGGGCCCATTTCCGGATCTCACTCTCACCCTCATTTCTCTCTCTTTCCGGATTGATTCGCACTCTCTGCAATTCGAATGGAAATTGCGTGATTTTTCTGAAAGAATTAAAAGGGTTTGTTGCTTGATCGATTTGCTGAAGTGGGTCGCTTCACTTGCTGTCGACGATGAAGGTGACCGTAGTTTCGCGGAGTGGCCGAGAAGTTGTCAAGGGCGGCCTTGAGCTCACCGATTCTGTATGCTTATCTTTTATCTTATAGCTTTGTTATTCATCGACGTATATGTTGCATTTCTGAGAAAACAAAGCATTAATTTTTGAATTTTATGCCGTACGGGGTTTTTGGAAAAATGAAATACTTGATTGCACTGGATGGGAAATTTCGAATTTGGGTTCCGTTCAGTTTAGTTAAAGATTCAAGTTTTGGATGAGATTTTCAAATTTGGGTTAGGTTCAGTTTAGTTAATTGTTAGCTTTTCTGAGTTTGATTGTGTCTCTGTTTGTGTTGCAGGCCACCGTAGCTGATCTGCAGGATGCAATCTATAAGCGAAGTAAGTGTTCTGGATATGCTTCTTCTTGCTATTGGACTTGTATAGCTGAATAAGTAGTCTTTTGAGAATTGAGATTGAATTTTCGGGTTGATTATCGTCTTTTAATTAAACGATAAGATTGATTGAGGGCTGTATTTATAGCTTACAATTTGTGACTTTAAAGCTTGCTGCTCTGCATCACGTTTGCTTTAGTTTAGAAATTGAGTTTTGCATATGCGTCTTTTTGTTTTTTTGGTCAATTGCATATGCGTCTTTTGCCGGTTGTATTATTTTTGTAGATGCAATCATGTAGTATTGTATTTTCATGAGATTAGTAAGTATTGCTCTTGTTTTGCAAATATTACATTATTAAAGAAAGCAAACTCTCATGTAACATCCTTTAAACTATATGAGCTATAACATTTAGATGCTAATGTAAGAATTTACAGTATGAAAGTTGGTGGAAATTTTGAAGAACCTTGTTGAATGCCAATAAGATAGCTGATTCACCTCAATGTCCCCCATCAAATGCCTTAAATCGAGAATGTACTAAACAAGAGTAATTGGTTATGCAGTTATTTGAATACCTAAAATGTCTGACGTACTTCAAGATTAATATCGTTGGAATTTGAATGAAAATGAAGATTAAATTAGGAAACTTTGGTGTATAGTGCACATTCTTTAGTTTAGAAACACAACTACTTAAACCCATAGGATCTTTTGGATTTGTTAGCAAGATTGGAACCTTGGTACCTGGCCTGAATTATTTGGTTTTTGCATCTGTTATTTTTCTAGGTATGTTTATAGGTTGGTTTATGTCATTGTTGATGCTCCATCATCACTAATTCCTTATGTGCCTTGTTCCGTTACAAACTTCAAAAAGAAATTTGTGTTTCTATAAGTGGCTCTAGTTATTGTAAGATTATTCTTTCTTAAATGATTTTATGTCTTATGTCAACAGCCAAAAAGTTTTATCCTGCAAGACAGCGGCTTACTCTCCCCGTCCAACCAGGATCAAAAGAAAGGCCTGTTGTCCTTAGCTACAAAAAGAGTCTCCAAGATTACATCAGTGGGAACTCAGATAACTTAACTGTGGTGTTCAAGGACCTGGGGCCACAAGTGTCCTACAGAACACTCTTCTTCTTTGAGTATTTGGGCCCTTTGATCCTTTATCCCATCTTTTACTACTTCCCTGTGTACGACTACTTGGGCTTCAAGGGAGACCGTGTCATCCACCCGGTCCAGACATATGCTCTATACTACTGGTGCTTCCACTACTTCAAACGTATTATGGAAACATTTTTCGTACATCGCTTCAGCCATGCAACCTCACCACTCTCCAATGTATTCCGGAATTGTGCTTACTATTGGAGCTTTGGCGCTTTCATAGCTTATTACCTGAATCACCCGCTTTACACCCCTGTTAGTGACCTCCAAATGAAGATCGGGTTTGGTTTTGGGATAATATGTCAAATCTCAAACTTGTATTGTCATATCCTGTTGAGGAACCTGCGAAGCCCTGATGGAAATGGAGGATATCAAATCCCACGGGGTTTTCTGTTCAATATTGTGACATGTGCAAATTACACAACAGAGATCTATCAATGGTTGGGCTTCAATATAGCAACGCAGACAGTCGCTGGTTATATCTTTCTCATAGTTGCTGCTTCCATCATGACCAACTGGGCGCTTACAAAGCACCGACGTCTTAAGAAGGTAATCTTCTAGACTATTGCAATCTACAAATCAAATACTTTATTCACTACACCAATAACTGCTTGTGTTTGTTGCTTAAAAGTTCAATCTCCTTGTTAGAGAACAACTCTATGCATGCATATAGATATGTTATAGTTTCATGTATAGATTGAGTATCGCTGCATGGTTGGGTTAGTTTGCGTGCATGATTAGTAAATGCTTAGTAAACTGAACTTCGATTTCACGATTGTTGGTTCTTATTATGTTTGATGACTTTTGTAATTTGATTTAATCAATATTAGCTTTCTTGACAACCTACATTTTCCTGCTGCCATTAGTCTGTTTGATAGAACTGGGGAAAAACCATATTTTATGGATAACGTATTAACATATGTATGTTTTATTCAAGCATCGGAATGCATTTAACATGATTTGTTGTAACACCTTGCCATCACAGATATTTGATGGGAAAGACGGAAGACCCAAGTATCCGCGCCGATGGGTGATCCTACCTCCATTCCTGTAGAAGCGATTGGCTCCTGGATTCCATTCCACCCATGCGGGCTTGAGGGAGTTAAAATCTCATATTTACCTCCTGAATTATCGTAGCATTCCGTTTGGATTCTGTTCATTTGAACTACTTAGGATTCGCTGTCGATCTATATAAGATAGGTCATCTTGTTCTTCTTGTTTGAACTGTGTTGTAATTTGCACTTGTTGACTATGAAATTTCTCCTTTTTCCCCCTTAAATTCTTAGTATTTTCTAATTGAAATCAATAATTTCATTAGAGCTTTACAGGATGCAATGCTTTTTGGATGTTGGCTGATGAAGGAATAGTGTTATATTTTAGTCATCATAAACATGAACGATTAGCATATGTGGGTTAGGTCCAGTTGAGTGAGGATCTTCGCCGGATTCTCATATCATATCCGTTCATTGTTTATCGTGCAGTTAAAAATTAATTTTTTTATTTAAAATTAAATATAAATAGTACCTGACTAAAATTGGTTGCACGATGTACGATGAATGAATGTGATTAGAGGATCTTTGGCATCCTCTCTCGGTCCAGT